TTGAGCCATCATTGCATGCCACTACTAACACACCTTTAAAAAAATTTAAAAACATAAAATGTGTTCAAAATTGCTAACTTTTTAACCAGTACAAATTTTATTCAAATGTTTTAAACTTTGGGGGCCGCTTTTTTAAACCCTCTTTACTTGAGAAAAATATGCCCAAATTTCACAAAAAAAAGCGGGGGCAAGATATTTTTTAAATAAAACTATTTACATAAAAGTTTTTAAAAATTTTGGGGAAACTTTCTTTTTGTAAATTTTTAATATTTCCCCCAAAGTTCCTTGAAGTATATTTTTTAATTTTTTAAAATTTTCCGTATTTCAGTTATTTTGGTTTTCCCTGTGATTTTCTTTGGGTCCCATATCATCATTTCAAATTTTTAAAATTAAAAAAATACAAAAATGTATAGGTATTTTTTTCATGATTTGAAAATCTGTAGACAAGGTAAGAAATATTTCACTATTTGCCAAACCCCCTTCACCATAAATAGTAACAGATGGGACAACACTGTGTATATCAATCAGGGCCTTTCAATGAGACTCTAAAATCTAAGTATGTATGTATCCAGTGATGAATCTGTGAATGACACATTTAAATGGTTTTCTTTTTTCCAATTAGTTTTAAAAGACTGACAATGGCCCTCTGTTGAAATCTTTGTTTAATTTATCAAACTTTGAACATTGTATTCTTAAACCCAAAATGGTTTTTTGATGGGTACGATTGTTGGAAAGAAATTTTGAGGGGCTAAGTATAAACCTCCTCTTCATGTGTTGCTCTCCAGAGATGTCTCGCTGGGGTAGCCTTTTAAAGACGTTAGTCCAAGAAATGTGGACCAAGTACTATCTAAAACATTCCACATGTGAGAAAAGTAAGGTAAATTATCTATCAGGGACTTTAAGAATGGGTGTTTCGCTCGGCAACCTTTTACGGGAAATTAAAAAACCAAGATGTTAAAAATTTAACCATAAAAAAATTGGGTTTTTTCATAAGGCTCCTGTGGCAAAAAACCAGCGAAATTTTTTTAAAAATTGGTCTAAATTTTTGAAAACCCTTTCAAACCCCCATATTTTGGCTACCACCACCAAAATTCTATAAAAACTAAAATATCTTAGAGCATTCTCTTCTTATACCTTCATGATAATTATCAAATGTATCTAACAGATGTGGATGTCTATCAGCAATCAATTTTCTAGCACTGGCATCTGTCCATAACCAATATTTGTAATCGGGATTTTTCTCATTCCACGATTTTACCCATCCTGTCAATTTTCGTGGTATTTCTGTATCTTTCCACGTTTGATGGATTATACGAGGAATACGTAAATTTCCTTCTGTAGGAAAAGTTTCAAATTTTGTAAGATGTAATGGTGCATAATCGGCTATATTTGTTTCATCTACTGGCAAGTTTAAACTCTTGTAGTCACCATGATCACGGATTTGCTCGAATTTGATGACGTAATGTAGCATGGTGGTCATAATGCAGCAACCAAATAATGTTTTTAAAGTTTCTCCCCGAGATAGGGCATCCATGAACCTTGATACCTGACCCATTCTTCCACCTTCTGAAAAACAGTAATATGCTTTATGAAACTGTGATGCCTAAATATATAAATATATAATTTAGCAAATTTGATGGATTTATATCCCTGTTATTCTATACAAATCACTTGATTGAAGTTTCTTGAACATTGACAAAGTTGTTACGAAAAGTACATCATTTCAGATAAAATGATGTCAAAATGAAATATCATTCATTTAAAGTATAATGTCAAATAAATATAAAAATTTCAGGAGTTATGCAAATTTATGCAAGTGCATGCAAACTTTTGTTTAAATGACCAAATTCTTTGAATTCAATTAGACCAGAAATAGACATAATATAACTGAGAATAACTGTATGACAATGCTAATTGTAAGATACAATGTATTGACGTAAATTCTTGGAATTACTGACCATTACGACCTAAAACCTCAGTAAACATGGGATATATCAGCAATATATATTTATATAAATAAATAAAATTAAACCATGATTGCCTTCATCACACACCTACAATCTATTGCAAGATACACAGTATGTAAAAAACTTATTTCAAACACTAACATCAACTGTTAATGAAAATATGGTAAACATATATGTGTTAACATAACAAACAAGAGGGGCATGATGGCCCTGAGATCCTCGGCTCACCTGTATTTATAGGCCCCCCCCACCCCCCCCCCAACGTTGCAGGGGCCCAATTTAACCAAGGGCTTTTAATTTTGCACAACTTGGTAAGACACCCATAAGGATGTTTCATGCTAAACCTCTAAGCTCTAGTCATTGGGCTTTTTAAAAACGAAGATTTTTTTTTAAGGGGGTTTTTTACTATACACATTATAGTTAAAAACAATGAAACCCCCTTGGGCCAGGCCAGTTTTGACCCGCAGGGCTTTTATTTGAAACAAACTTTGTAGACATTACTAGAAATGTTTCATGCTTAATAGTCTCTAAACTCTAGCATTTGGTTTTTTTCAAAGAAGATTTTAACGTTTTTGCTATACACATATAAAGAAAATCAATCTCACCCCCGGGGGGGGGCCCCAATTTAGACCCATCTACCCAGGGCTTTAATTTGGACAAACTTGGTAGACACCTATTAGAACATGTTTGATGCTAAATATCTTAGGCCATAGCTCTTTGAGTTCCTTTAAAAGAAGAATTTTTTTAAGTTTTTAACTATAATGCATATAGGGAAAATAAAATGAACCCCCCGGGGCGGGGCCCAATTTTTGACCCAAGGGCTTTTATTTGAACAAACTTGGTAGACACCCATTAGAAGATGTTTCATGCTAATAATCTTAGCGCTCTAGCTCTTTTGGTTCTTTAAAAGAAGATTTTTTAAGTTTTTACTATATGGATATAGGGAAAATCAAATGACGCCCCCTGGGGCGGGGCCAATTTTGACCCCAGGGGCCTTTAATTGAACAAATTGGTAGAACAAACACTTGTTAGAACATGTTTGATGGCTAAATATTCTTAGGGCATAGCTCTTTGAGTTCTTTTTAAAAGAAGATTTTTTTTAAGTTTTTACCTATATGCATATAGGCAAAATCAATGACCCCCCGGGGGGGGGCCAATTTTTTGACCCCAGGGCTTTTATTTGAAAACAAACTTGGTAGACACCCATTAGAAGATGTTTCATGAAAGCCTAAATATCTTAGCTCTAGCTTTTTGGTTCTTTAAAAGAAGATTTTTTAAGTTTTTACTATATGCATATAGGGAAAATTCAATGACCCCCGGGCGGGGCCAATTTTGACCCCAGGGCTTTTTAAATTTGAACAAACTTGGTAGACAACCCATTTAGAAACATGTTTCATAGCTAAATATTTAGCTCTAGGCTCTTAGGGTTCTTTAAAGAAGATTTTTTAAGTTTTTTACTATATGCTAATACTAGGGAAAATCAATGACCCCCCGGGGCGGGGCCAATTTTGACCCCATGGCTTTTATTTGAAACAAACTTGGTTAGACACTCACTAGAAGATGTTTCATGCCAAATACTCTAAGCTCTAGCTCTTTTGGTTTTTTAAAAGAAGATATTTAAAGTTTTTTCTTTCGGTTTCCCATTGGCAACCAGAGTTCTGGCATGGAAAATTAAAAAATTCTTTGGAACAATTTTTTTAAAGGTGAAACCAGCCAAAGGAACATTCCTGTGAAAGTTTGGATGAAATTGGCTTAGTGGTTTATGAAAGGAGATGTCATTTAAAGTAAAAGTTTACGGACGGACGACGGACGGACGACGGACGGACCGGACGGACGCCGGACGAAAAGCGATCACAAAAGCTCACCCTGTCACTTTGTGACAGGTGAGCAAAAAACTAACACCCTTGTTAATATGTAACATTATAGCTAAAATCCACACAGGCATATCTACAAACAACACAAGAAAATAGTAAACAGTCTAAGTGTTTCGGTTAGTAAAATCAAAATGATGTACATGTATCCAAATGTGCTGCAACTTCACTCATTTATCATAAATGTCATAAATAAAACATAACATGTTAATACAGTATCGGATAAAGAAGATTCAAAAATATGATACAAAAAAAATATTTTCTAAGTTAATGTAAATTAATAACCTCTAACAAAATCAAACTTCATACCTTTACACTACAAATTCAAATAAACCGTCTTTATTTGATACATTATGTACATGTAAATGACAAGTAATTTATAGATATGATAGGTTGTGGATTTTGTGTTAAATACTACAAACGGTTAGTTTAAGCTATATGCATTCATAAATGACTAATTACTTTGACACATCTCCAGTTGTTGGCACTCTGTAAAGGTGAAGAAAAATAATTTGTTTAAATTGTTAATGCAGGAAGTTATAGGTATACCATAATTAGCTGTCTGTAATTGTCAATATTCTTAAATCAAACAGTTTATAAATTATGATTAAAATGGCATGCCCCTAGATGAGCTATTTATAGTTCCTGTCCATGTGAAACTTTGAATGTGTTATGCATGATATGACATACATGTAATTAAGCTCTATTTTTATCATCCAAAAGCTACTAACAGTCTCAGTTAAATAAGAAAATTGTTTGCACATTTTGAAAAGTTATGGGTAATATTCTGTTTATGCTATGTTAAATCACTTAATTTGTACACTTGAAAAGATTTTTACTCATTAAAACAATATTCTTAGTTTTCATGAAAGTTTAAAACAAATCTCCAGACATGCTGCTCATTAATGTGACATGCTGGAACAAAAAGTTTATAGAACAGTCTGAACTTGTCATCCGTATAAGCTAAGCCAGCTGGCACAGGCTCTACAGTATCCGCTGACCAACTTTAATATTAGCAAAATTGATACCAGACATTTCTAAAAAACAGATGCTGGTCAAGACATTCAGCAAATTTATGTGACAATGGACATGGGAAATATATATATATCTTACAAAACTCTATGTTACTGCTTACAATTAACAATATTGTCATATAAATGTAAATTTCAATATATAGATCAATCAAATAACAAATCCTATAAACCACAAATACTCAAATCTGTAATCTACATTGTATATTATTAAGTCTGACGTATGACCCCTTGAAGGAAAAGATAACTTATTCAAGACAGTACTGTAATAGGCCAAGGTCCTGTTTCAATAAAGGTTTCGTAGATGGGTACAGTATATATTGTGTCTTAGTTAAAATAATGAATATATTATAACTGGAAAACAAACAAGACAGGACAAGAACTAAACAATAAGTTGATCTATTTATTGATGCAAAGGTATAAACAATTTTCGCCAAAAAAGTTTAATTCCTGACTACATTTCTCATTTAAATTAAACCTTAGATTCCCAATGAAGCTAATAACATATTTTCAATAAATAAACTACCGTAATTGCCTCCCAAAAAATGTTTAATAGGGTACTACCTAATTCTAACTATGCTGAAGACATTTTAAAATCAAATTAAATTTTAAGATGTCTGGAAAACAAAAACACTATCCAACGAACATGCCTGTCATGTAAGATTAACTATTTTAATACCATTGTCAAATTTTACCATATTTCTATTTTTGATAGTGTTGCAATGCTAATAACTTTGACACTTTCTATCACATTTATTAAAATGTTATTTTTGCTAAGTTTTAAAACACAATAAAACGGTGATGTGATATACAACATTTTCAAAGCAATGCCATTAACAGACATATTTTATATTATTATTAAGTATAATAACATTTGTTGACAGAGAATTAAGAAAATATGGCAAATTTTTCATGAGCAAATGGTACATGTCACTATGATAGCTGTTGTATGTATCATGATGTTTAGCTATATCTGACTATCTACATATGTAACTGTTTGAATCATGTGTGGCAATAATGTCCGGAAATATTTATATCTTCAGAGACATTTTCTCAACAAGTCATAATCAAGGTTTCCAGACCATTAAAAGTATAGCACATAACAATGCATATACATTTTACTTCAACCTATAACACAGATAGTAATAATCTTAGGTGAATTACTCAGCCCCTGTCTGTCACCAATATTTGAATCAAATTGTAAGGATCTGACATTCTAGCATAATTCTGAAATGTACTTACAACAGAACTTATAATGAAATCCAAGTGACATTGTGAAATCCTATAGCTTAGTCATATATTGTTGACTTCTACAAGATATTCACTTACCTGATTGATCTGAAGGAACCCTGTATTAACACTTATTGACTTTGCAATTTAAGCTGATAGAAATGTTAAACTTACCTTATTGTATAGAAGAAAACTGATTTTCTCTTTACATTTTCTGTGTAGCAGACGTCCAATGACACACATCTTTTGAAATCTGTCACTTCATATCTTTTATATTGAAGATTTCTTATTGTTAATGTCAATTTCAGTTAAATTCAATTCAAGAACGTAATTTATGTAAAGTTTATGATTGATTAAGGTCAGAAATCCTTAAGTATTCACTACATGTTTCTGTATATTAATGATTTTCGTATGTAGATTTTATATGAGATTTTCAATATGTGCCCGCCATTGAAATCCAAGATTTCAGATTCAAAAATCCGGCCGTCTGTCCATTGGAGGATTTCCGGATTTCTGTTGTTTCATTGTTGATTTCAAACATCGCAACCTTATAAAAGTCCGGAAATCCAACCAATGTTGTTCACTTCGGTCTGACCCCAAGTAATGTAAATAAAGTTGTAAAACAAGCCTGAAAGTCAAATTCGTAAAACATCTTTACAACGACTTGTTATCCAAACTTGTAAGTTTGTATGTATTTAAATCCAATATTAGTAACTCACTAGACACTGTTGTTGCCGAAATACTTGTTATAAACTTAGAAAACTGTATAAGAATTGTATTTATTTTCCCCATCCTGACATACGTTTACAAAATACATAAAATGAAAATGATAAATAAATAAGTTATTAATCATAATTTAAGCAAATTTCAATAATTTGACCTTGATCGTAAAAGTCAATTTAAGGTCACAAGAGCTGTCGACTATTCTTAGTGCTTGATAATAAAAGAGCCTTGATAATGTAAGATTTTCTAAGTTAACAAAAGGGCAAATTTTTTCTTTAAATCCATGTTACAGTTAAATCCATGTTACAGTTATAGGCCTTGGAGACAGTCCTATTATGCTCTCAAAGAAGAGAATAAATTTTCAAGTATTTCAAACCCAGATGTCAATAGAATATGAAAATATCTGAAGTTGAACAAGAGCTGTCAGTAGGATAGTAAAAGAGCCTTGATAATGTAAAATTTTCTGAAAAGGACAAATTTTTTCTTTAAATCCATGTTACAGTTATAGGCCTTGGAGTGAGTCCTATTATGCTCTCAAAGAAGAGTATAAAATTTCAACTTGTTTCAATAGAATATGAAAATATCTGAGGTGGTATGCAAACCTAAATGTAAATTCTAAGTCAAAAAGGGGCATAATTCTGTCAAAATGCTTGATACAGTTACCTCCTCCTGTCAACAGGTTGTCGGTCATGATGGTGAACAATTGTACAAAGTTTCAAAGCCATATGTCAAAGGACTTTTAAAATATTTGAGGTATTACAAAAAATTTAACGTAAATTCTAAAGTTGAAAAAAGGGCATTATTCAGTTAAAATGCTTGATACAGTTACCTCCTCCTGTTTACAGGTTGAGGTCATGATGATGAACAAGTGTGCTAAGTTTCAAAGCCATATGTCAATGGACTTTGAAAATATTTGAGGTATTACAAAAACTTTAAAATGAGTGGTCCCGCTGACGCCAACACCGACGCCGAAGCTGACGCTCGGGTGACTACAATAGCTCTACTTATTCTTATCGAATAGTCGAGCTAAAAATCATACCAGAATAATTCAACATTAGGGTTTCATCATACCTGTTCTTGTGTCCAAGTATAAATCACGTCTGTAAATGAGTAACAAAGTTATGACAATTTCAGCAAATTTCAATAATTTAATCTTGACTGTCAAGGTGAAATAAATGTCATTGTTATATTTGAAAAATTCAGCATACAGATTTTGTCATAATTAAGGGTTCTTTTGTCCAAGTACATATATAAATGAAACCTGCAATGTCCAATTTTAGCAAAATTCATTAACTTGACCTTTACCGGTAGTACCAAGGTCAAATAAGGTCAAGGTCAATAAAATTGTCTTTAATGTCTTGTCCCAAGGATTGATCTGCCACAGTATTCAGACAATCCTTTTATTACTTACATGTTTGAAGTTTAGTATGCATGCAGTAATGTGTGGCGTAAAAGTAGCTAAATGTAAACAAAGTAGTATTTTGACTTCCATACAAAATAATAATTCACTATAATTATACCAATTGCCAACAGAGCAAAATTAACTAAAGATATTTGATGTACATGTATATGGCATATGAGATTTTTTGGAAACTGTAACAAGATAAGGAAAATAAACATTTTTGAGAAATAAAAATGACAGCATTTCTGAGGTACAATAGACCTTTAAGGAAGCCATTATTCCTAAGCAAAAAATTTACCATCCATGATTTAATCAGTTGATTCTGAAAATTTATAAACAATAATGTTAACTAAATTTGAAAATTTCAAATTGCATTGGACACTTAAGTTACTAAAGATATAAAAATCTTCAACAGCCCCAAATAGAGCCAAGTCATTCTGTCCTTCAGTACTAATTTATAATTATCATTAATTTTATATATTGCTACAATAAAAAAATTAACTACATGAACATGATAAGGTGAAATATTTACATAAAATTTCAAACAAAATTACAATTTGTTAGAAACTGTGTTTTGTTGTAAACCCTAAAACTGCTGAAATTGAAAGTGTATAACCTTTATCCCCAGTGTAAATACAGGCAAGCCTATAGTTTAACCAGACATAACAATTTGATGGCTGACTAAATTTAAATTTTCATCTTGATATCCCCAAAGTTGATAATGAACTGTCCCAAACTTAAAGCTGGGCTAAGTTCATTTAAGAAATTCAGCAAATTAAGGTAACAAGCTTTATCCAAACTTGCTAAAATTATAAACTTTCTGAGCATTGGTAGCAGCATTGAAGCCATAAAACCAGGTTAGCCTGAATGTACCTTATATATTTTGAAAAAACATATTGGTACTGTTAAAGTTTTACTAACCTTATAACTTATTCAACCAAGTATTATACAATACAAAATGTCAATGTTGTTAAAAATATTGAATATGAAAGTATCTAAAATGGTTATCACAACACATAAATGTAACATGCAACTGCAGTGAATAGCTTAAAAATCACAGCATGATAAATTTTGGAAATAGATATCAATGTTGAGTGTATAATTGTTGTAGAAAAATGCACGGTTCAAGTTCAAATGTGTAAGAATATAATCAAGAAGGCCAATAGACCAAAGTGATTAATAACAAAGCATTTGAATGATGAACCGCAAGAAAACTTAATATCTATTTCCATTCTAACATGCTAACAAAAGAGAATTGATAAAAATATGTTGAACTGCATTGAGAGTAGAAGTAATTTTCTTGGTGTTATTTAAAATGAAAAACATGCCTATAAAGCTTAAATTGATAATCAGTTGCAAACAAGATGTTTGAAAGAACATAAATATCTGTAAAACAGACAGATTTTAGGGTATTTTAAATAAAAACATGAATACATGTATTTTATCATTTAAACTAAAGCAAAATTAACACAATATTCTAGCAAGCCCAGTAATTGTTAACAGAGATTTTCTATTCAACTACTTGTATATTATGAAGCTTCCAACCTTTTTATACAATCCCCAATTTTGAAACCCTTTTTGATATATTTACCTTGTTGTTGGTTAGTTCAAAAATTACAGGTCTCTTCCTGTTTCACAGATTTAAAAACAATGATATCTTGTAGGACATGCTTTGTACACCGAAGTGGTAATTACTTCAACACAAGAGGGCCATGATGGCCCTGAGGTCGCTCACCTATATATAGGCCCCCCACCCCCGGGCCAATTTTTACCCAAGGGCTTTTATTTGTTTATTTGAACAGACTTGGTAGACACCCATAAGAAGATGTTTCATGCTTAACATCTAAGTTCTAGCTCATTGGGTTTTTTAAAAGAAGATTTTTAAAGTTTTTACTATACACATATAGTTAAAAACAATGACACCCCTGGGGGCAGGGCCAGTTTTGACCCCTGGGCTTTTATTTGAACAAACTTTGTAGATATTTACTAAAAGATGTTTCATGCTTAATATCTAAACTCTAGCTATTTGGGTTTTTTCAAAGAAGATTTTTAAGTTTTTGCTATACACATATAAGGAAAATCAATGACCCCCCCCCCGGGCGGGCCAGTTTTGACCCCAGGGCTTTTATTTGAAAATACTTGGTAGACACCCATTAGAACATGTTTCATGCTTAATATCTTAGCTCTAGCTCTTTGAGTTCTTTAAAAGAAGATTTTTTAAGTTTTTACTATATGCATATAGGGAAAATCAATGACCCCCTGGGGCGGGGCAAATTTTGACCCAGGGCTTTTATTTGAACAAACTTGGTAGATACTCATTAGAAGATGTTTCATGCTAAATATCTTAGCTCTAGCTCTTTGGGTTCTTTAAAAGAAAGATTTTTTAGGTTTTTACTATATGCATATAGGGAAAATCTATGACCCCCTGGGGCGGGGTCAATTTTGACCCCAGGGCTTTTATTTGAACAAACTTGGTAGACACTCACTAGAAAAATGTTTCATGCCAAATATCTAAGCTCTAGCTCTTATGGTTCTTTAAAAAGCAGATTTTTTTAAGTTTTTTACTATATGCATATAGGGAAAATCAATGACCCCCTGGGGTGGGCCAATTTTGACCACTGGGCTTTAATTTGAACAAACTTGGTAGACACTCACTTAGAGATGTTTCATGCTTAATATCTTAGCTCTAGCTCTGTGGGTTCTTTAAAAGAAGATTTTTTAAGTTTTTACTATATGCATATAGGGAAAATCAATGACCCCCTGGGGCGGGGCCAATTTTGACCCCAGGGCTTTAACTTGAACAAACTTCATAGACACTAATTAGATGATGTTTCATGCTAAATATCTTAGCTCTAGCTCTTTGGGTTCATTAAAAAAGAAGATTTTTTTAAGTTTTTACTATATGCATATAAGGAAAATCAATGACCCCCTGTGGCGGGGCCAATTTTGACCCCAAGGGCTTTTATTTGAACAAACTTGGTAGACACTCACTAGAAGATGTTTCATGCCAAATATCTAAGCTGTAGCTCTTTGGATTTTTTAGAAGAAGATATTTAAAGTTTTTTCTTTTGGTTGCCATGGCAACCAGAGTTCTCGTGGATTTAAATTCTTTGAACAATTTTCAAAGGTGACCACCAAAGGAACATTCCTGTGAAGTTTGGATGAAATTTGCTTAGTGGTTTATGAGGAGATGTCATTTAAAGTAAAAGTTTACAGACGCCGGACGGCCGGACGCCGGACGAAAAGCGATCACAAAAGCTCACCCTGTCACTTTGTGACAGGTGAGCTAAAAACAATAACACAGACAGTACACTAGCCTTTTTCTATACCAGACAGTATAACAAATAATAAAACACACATATCATTACAAACTTGAGGGTTATCTATTGAACACCAGAATAAATATTTCATTTCCTGAGTAGAAAATTTAATTGTACATGTATGAAGATATTTCTATATTCAGCTCTTGCTGTCTCTTAAAGTAGGTGATCAATTCATCATATATAGCAAATACTTGATAACATACCATCTAATGATAGACATGACCAAGTGTGATGATGATTCATCAACTGATTGATATGGAGAAGAAATTGTATGTTTAAGCCCAAGCAACCACTTATACAGGCTAAAAAATCTATTTCAGCAAACATGATAGGATTTGTTGTTTTTTTTTCAATTTAAGCTCTGCTTATATAACAAGGAGGAAGGGTTAAATTGACCTATGAAAATTCTACTTTTATTCAGTTTATACCTGTGTAATTCACAGGTAGTCAATTGGAAATCAGACAGAAGACAATTAATCTTGACAAGTACACAGATTTAAGTTTCAGCCCTCTATAAAATTTCTTTAGTTAAGTTTTAACTAGAACTGCCACTGTCATGGTGTGAATACCCCTGCATACCACTTAGTCAGAATTAAAAGTGGCCATTTAGAGCTCAAGGACAACCTCCCTGCCAAATCTGAGTTACTAAGCCAGTGCATTGCTAAGTTATGTATTCTACATGCTTCAAATGTCAAAATCTATACACTGCGGACAGGTATTATTAAGCATTTGAGCAGACAAGCTTATCATAGTAAAAAATCCAAGTGACTTGACCTTTGACACAGTCACCTAAAATCAATATGGGTCATCTGTTAGTCATAAACAACCTCAATACCAGATATGAAGACTGTTGACCAAAGCATTCTTAAGTAATTGATCAGAAAAGCTTTTTTAATCAGCCCCTGTGACCTTGACCTTTGACCGAGTGGTCAGGATCAACCTCCATGCCAAAAATGGAGACTGTGGGTCAAAGGAATCTAAATTATTGGGCAGACAAACTTTTTGAAGTCAAGGTCCTGTGACCTTGACCTTTGAACCAGTGACCTCAAAATCAAAAGGGGTCATCTACTAATCATGACTAACCTTCATGCCATATATGAAGACTGTGGGTCAAAAGAATCTTAAGTTATTTGGTGGACAAGCCTTTTTTTAGTCAAGGCCCCTGTGACCTTGACCTTTGACCCAGTGTTCAAAATCAAAAGGGGTCTTCTACTGATCATGACTAACCTCCATGCCAAATATGAAGACTATCGGTCAAAGGAATCTAAAGTTATTTGACTGACAAGCTTTTTTTGTCAAAGCCCATTTGACCTTGATTTTTGACATAGTGACCTCAAAATCAATAGGGGTCATCTTCTAATCATGACTAACCTCCATGCCAAATATGAAGACTGTGGGTCAAAGGAATGTAAAGTTATTGGGCAACAAACTTTTTTTAGTCAAGGCCTGTGACCTTGACCTTTGACCCAAATACCTCAAAATCAATAGGGGGTCATCTACTTATCATGACTAACCTCCATGCCAAATATAAAGACTGTGGGTCAAAGGAATCTTAAGTTTTTGGATAGACAAGTTTTTTTTAGTCAAGGCCCCTTTGACCTTGACCTTTCATCCAGTGACCTCAAAATCAATAGGAGTCATCTACTGATCATGACTAACCTCCATGCCAGATATGAAAACTGTGGGTCAAAGGAATCTTAACTTATTGGGCAGTCAAGCTTTTTTTAGTCAAGGCCCCTGTGACCTTGACGTTTGACCCTGTGACCTCAAAACAAAAAAGGGAACATCTACTTATCATGATTTACCTCCATGCCAAATAACTAAGGGTCAAAGGAATCTTAAGTTATTGAGAGGACAAAATTGTTTTAGTCAAGGCCCTGTGACCTTGACCTTTGACCTCAAAATAAATAGGGAAATCCTCTAATCATGTCCAATCTAAATACCAAATATGAAGACTGTGGGTCAAAGGAATCTTAAGTTATTGGGCGGACAAGGAAAACCCAAGGCTGGCCTGACAGACATCCGACTGAATAGGGGTAAAGGGCCATTTCTATTGGCTTTTTTTTGTTTAATAGAGGGCCATGGCCCCTTATTCTATTGTTACGGAATGAATTCTATTGTTCTCTCTTGTTCTGTTTACAGTTAGATGGCCCCCTATCCCTATACGGTAGTGCGGGGAAACGTCAGGACGTGCAGACATCCCGATGGCCGGACTGACAAGCTGATTCCAGTATATCCACCTTAGAACTTAGTTGTGCTGGGGGATAAAAAGGCAACTTAAGGATAAGTAAAAGCACAGTATCTTGAAACTTCTAACTATTAATTAGGTTAGTCTAAAATATTTTGAGGTTTTTTTTTTGCTAACATAAATCAAGATTACACAGATGTGAACATTATAATATAACTTACAAGTGCTTATTATTCTTTTGATCTCTAAACTATTACAATTTTTTATTTGTACTATTAAAATGTATAACTATAAGTTAGCTAGTCATGCTGGAAGTTAGAACAAAAAAGTAAAACATGTGACATTAATGGTATTGAAGGTAAAAACATGAGCACCATATCAACTCTCATTACTTACTAAGATATCTGAAGGTTCCAGCTGAAAGTTAAAGTTAATATATAATGTTATATATAATGTTATATGTAATTGTAAGAGCCTCAAGAAGAAAATATTCATGGTTAATGCCACTATGAAGCAACAACTTTGCAGCAATATTTTTATTTTTGTATAGGTAAAAGACAGAGTAGAACCATTGTCATCTAATATGTTTGCTAGATAGTTTCACCAGGCAATGTATGCACTTAATATAAAAACTCTTGGTCCAGAAGATCAAAATCAATGCGTCAGTAAAGGCAAGAGATAATGGTTGTCAAATTTAAAAGTTTAAAACTTAATCAAGTACCATCAGCTTTTTACAAAAATATTTTGGTATATATATTCCATATAATTAAATGTTGTTGTTTTTTTCTTTATATTGTTGACAAGTATTGTGACTTGAATATGCCTGCTTACAATATTTAGCCAGAAAGAAAACACCAAGCTCTAGGTTATATCAAGAAAATTTTAATATGTTTCCTAACAAAGTTATATGTAAAACATGCACATTCTTTTAATTCATATACACCAGGGTATGATAAAGATCACTTGAATGAAACTTTAAATATTACATAGACATATCTCAGAACAGGAGTGAAAACGAAATTCTTTACTCCGATGACACAAAGCCTCCAGAGTGGTAAAAAGTAAAATAGCTCTTACAATACAGGACATCCTTGTCAGATATAACAACATTAAAAATAATGTTAACACATTATGTAATGTTGTTTGGTCCTTCATTTTTTGTATGTTTCAATGAATTATAATCAATCAAGTGAAGTATGCAAATTTATGCTCGGATAATGAATTCATATATTTATTCATCCTAAGATACATGTACGAATCTTACAGACAAACAGACAGACAATGCCTTTTCAATATCCTTTTATCTGATATAATTAGCCGCGGATAACAAAGACTATAAAATAAAAAAAAAAGTTTATTTACTTGCCTATTATACTTCCCATACTTGTATATAATCTGCATAAAACTGGGTACCTGTTGATATAATGTTAACATAAAAATCTTCATAATTATAAGACATGAATGATATTGATCTATTCTACTGTACTTGACTGAAATTGACAGAAAACTTGATGATAAATTTAGCAAAAAAGCTCGATCCCTAGTCACGCTTACACTTTATTTCTCTATTAACATGTAAATAAACGTGTAGAATCAAATTACAAATCAATGTACTACATACTAACCTTAAACAGAAAACTGCATTTTGTCATAAAATTTCATTCATGACTAAACATTGATATTCATGACTAATATCGATAAACATATTAACACCTTCTATATTTGCTTTTTGTATCAACAGAAATCATTACTTTTGCTTACAAGCATGACTAATCAAACATATGTTCAACTATGATCTGACCAGTAAAACGAAATGGTTGACTATTTTCAGTACTTGACCTTAATTTATGGTATTTTACATACACAAATGGCTATAATTCAGGAACAATTCAGTGAAAATGTTGATCTGAGACTAACAGACATGTTGAATGCATTCATTAGTTGATGAGATATGTAGTTACATGCAAAACTTTTAGCATAGAGTTTAACTGATACTCAAGTTAAGAGGATAGCCCAATCCTCTTTCCTTGTATGATAGCCCTACCCTCTTTCCTTGTAGGATAGAACAACCCTCTTTCCTTGAAGGATAGACCCACCCTCTTTCCTTGTAGGATAGCCCCTCCCTCATTCCTTGTATGATAGCCCCACCCTCTTTCCTTGTAGGATAGAACAACCCTCTTTCCTTGAAGGATAGACCCACCCTCTTTCCTTGTAGGATAGCCCCTCCCTCATTCCTTGTATGATAGCCCCACCCTCTTTCCTTTTGGATAGACCCACCCTCTTTCCTTGTAGGATAGACCCACCCTCTTTCCTTGTAGGATAGACCCACCCTCTTTCCTTGTACGATAGCCCCACCCTCTTTCCTTGTGGGATAGACCCACCCTCTTTCCTTTGAATAGTCAGCTCAAAAACAATTATAATCATTTTAACTAGCCTAAGTTCCAAATAATATCAACAATATTACATTGTATAAGATAAATGTACACTAATACATCAACAAAGCAATTAAGCTATATTTACCATTCATGATTATATCAGAAACATCATTGAAGGCATTTTACACTGAAGGAAAAGCTGCCAAAAATATTATAAAATACGTCAGTATCTGAAAAGATAAAAATAAAAAGGATTATTTCAACCAGTCTTATACAATCAAATAAAAGAAGAATCTTGATGGCCCATTATTAACTAGGGCTGGATTAATATACCGGTAAATCGGTATTTATCGATTTTCCGTTTTTCAATACGGTACGGTTATCGGGTTTTAGCTATACCGATACAAAGGGAGACAACCTAATAAAAATGTGTAACTTATAAACATGATGGCTTTACATTAAAACTATCGTCTTTAAAATGTCCACACGAAAAGCAAAAGTGTGGAATTTTCTCTGAAGTAAATGTTAAGAAGGCCCTCAGCAATATTTGAAAGGCTGCATTGATTAGTTCAGGTGGAACAACGAATGTGTCAATACTAGGGCTGGGAACGAATAAGGAATTTGATGTTCGAATATTCGTTTTCCATATTCGAATATATTCGAATATTCGTTTTTACAACATTTGTACCAATATTTCTCTTTGACGTATACGTATCCGAAATTGATTGCGTCGAATACTGTACAATTTTAATATGTTTGGAATAATCGACGATTAAAAATACCTATATAACTACGTAAAAGTTTTTTATTTTATATATTGTAAATCGACATAAATGTTTACTTTCGAAATAAATTCATAATTCGATTGCCTTTTGTTCAGTTAATCCGACTGCTGATCATTTGTCTTCATGGTCTTATTAACGGTAGGTAACTCACGTGATTTGATTGACAGTATAATGAATCACCGTAGCTTCTTAGCCCCCAAACACATAATTTACATTGAAACTTAACTTGAATTAAATATATTATTTATCTATAATTTTAGATAAGGTTTAAAATATTCTTCAGATACATTTAGCTATAACGCAGTAAATATCACACGGAGTCTTAGTTTCTACGGAATAAATATATTTTGACGGAATATAGACACTGACCATGCTTACATAAAGCACCGATTAATACGTGTCGATTTTTTCGTCTTCACAAAATTTAAGACAATGGCTGATTAATCGGACAGATTATTGCACAGAAAACAATAAATAAGATGATTAAAACCGGAAAATTACATTATATTCTGTTCAACAGGTAAATTGCAAACTGTGAAACGGGTGCCCTTTTGATCAACTATAGACCCCAAAACTTTCACAGTTAATTGGCGATAATCGTTGACACGTGTCATACAAACGTGTGAACAACTGGTCAAGTAAAGGTCAATGGTTTAATTGGCTATCTTAATTGAAATTTGAAAGTAATTACACAAAAAAAAACTCTTTTTTTTCGAATATTCGTATTCGTTTTTCAATGTTCGAATATTCGGTAGTGTTTCGAATATTCGAATATTCGAATATAATTCCCGGCCCTAGTCAATACACAAAATGACGGATAAATCCGTGACAAAATTTATCCAGCCATTCAATCTCCTATTTCTAACCCTGGTAAAAATACTTTCAGGTCGGCAGTAGTTTGTATTAGACCAAACATTTACTTGTAATTTAATCAAACACATTGTAAACACATAGATCCTACAAATCTATTGATTTTCCGAGATGTAGTTTGCTAACTAAATAAATGCGACTGTGCGAAGACGTAGCTATTAAACACCGTTTCCCGGTACGTTACGGATTAGGACACCACAACATCATTACATGATATTTATATTTTTAATGTAATTTTACCATTTAAGATAGAAAAAAACATGATTGTTTAGAAAATTTTCATAGTTCCAATACTTTCTCAGCGTGTAAATTTCAAATTCTCCAAAAATTTGATTTTATTATAAATATCTTTTAATTTAACAGTTGACTTGTAGACAGTACTAGACTCCTGTCATAATAAATAGTGATGTTTTAATTATTTTCTGCGTTAACTTTTCCTAGTATTTACATAATTATATTTTTGCATTGAATTATTTCTCTACAAAGCTTTTTTTTTCAAAATAATTATTTTATCTAAAAAAGGGGCCATCATGTCATTTTCAAACAGATATAAGAAAGATTCAATAATATTTCACCAGGGCATCTATGAAATGTAAATAGTACTTTTAATAAGTACATCCTAACAATGAAGCATCATTGTACTGTATCATCAATACGTATTGTGTATCGTTGGTCTGTATCGCAATACGTATCGTATCGGAAATTTCTGATCAATACCCAGCCCTATTATTAACTGTCATAGATATAAAATATTGTATATATTCATCAACAATATAACAATACACTGTATTGTTTGGCAAAATTGACCAGAGACCGATTTATTGTCAGGAGATTTTCCATTAGTGTATTTAGTAGCAGGTACATCTCAGTTGCATGGCCCTTTATCCAAAAATAATTTCACAACTCTAAAATACGGATTATCTAACACAAACAATAATTTCACAAAAGTTTGCATTATTGTTAAAACCACTAATTTCACATAAAATGTACTTATAAAGGGCCATAACTCAGTCAATAATAAGTTAATAGCAGCAAAAATTGTATTTGTCCTGTGTTTTGATATAACATGCTTACAAGCCAAATATAAACACAATCATTGATCATCGTAACCCTTGCAAAGTTATCCAGCGGAGACCAATAATTTCACAAAAAAAATGGTTAAAAAGGTTAGGGGCATTCAACTCTTTCAAATATAAATTGATTGCAGGAAAATCAAACAAGAACTGTGTTTTAATATAACATACTAACATGCTAAATGTAAACACATTCATTGATACCCTTCAAAAGTTATCCTGCTAAAACCAACTGTATACAGACAGGTGGAGACAACACCATACCATAATATTTCCTTTACAATCCTGGGAAAGTTATCCATTTAACTGATCATTATTTTAACCACATGTAAAAAGATTAAAGCTTTACTCTGTTGTCTGTAATTTGTTGTACTGAGGAAGAGCAGGAAACCACACACACTTAAATGTGGAGCTTCAGAGGTTACAGCAGCTGACTCTGAGGTGTTACCCTTAACAAAAACTCTCTGGCATCTGTTACTAAGGAAGCTCTCTCAACTTAGTGCCTGACCATATATGCCCTGATGGCCAAACTTTTCTGGTTTTCACTATTTTATTTTTTTGTGTAGCAAACACCATGTAGACAACCATCAACGTTTTGATGAAGGGTAGAGTTAATCTGATTAGCAAATACTGCAGCAATGTGTGATATGATTATGATTTACCAACCTTCACAAAAGACCATTTCTAAATCTGATATAAGATGGGCAGGAGTTGGTCTAAATGTTTCATGACATAACTATGGATAACAATTATGTTCCCATTAATATGCAGCAGACAGATGTTAGTGACATTGGTCTAAAAGACTCTATAGATTACAGGTGATGTTTTGTCACCTTTTTTTAAAAGCAGTATTTACATGTTGTGTATCTGGTCTGTTGGTACCTTTCCTTCTTGATGTGATGTTGAGAATATGACTGTCAGAAGCAAGTTCTGTGTCATATTCCTGAAGGTATTGAGTTGGTATGTTGTCAGGACCTTGAGTTTTGTGGGAGTCTAGGCTTTTCAGGAGTTTCTACATCAATCATGTCATTGGTGAAGTGATTTATTAATCTGGAGCAAGAAATTTATTAAGTCATAAGTGTTGTGTGTCAGCATACCCCCTGGTTTTTTTCCAAAGTTGGTAATGTACCAACCATGCAGTTAAGTGGGTATAGCCATACATGCCATAATTTTTAATTTCATTTCCGGGACACTTTTCATTTGGAGATGGGGCATTGATCAGCAAACATTGTTTTCTTTTACATAGTGGCATACAACCTATATTACTGGTATTTACAACTTGCAAATTTAATGACACCATAAACAAAAGACAGAATGTCAATAATTATTAACAGTTTTTCTATCTTTTTTAAGTATTTAGGCATTGTTAATTCAATCAGTCACAGAAAAGAATAAAGCTATGTTAAGTAATGATAATTAGCCATGTCGTTTACCTGAAACATTTGCTGAATTTTGTAGATTTCATCACCTCAAATTTAGCAGTAATTTTCACAGTGTTTGACCACTAATAACTGCCTCATGGCAGATTAAATTATACTTGTCAGTTGTTAATTACAGTGTATGACACCTTCGCTCAGGAAGCCACATGGGGTAAACAATTAATCTTTTAATTGATCTAAATTATTGCCGGTAATTGTTTGTTGGAAGGGACAAGTACCAATCAAATGATTAGTGTCAGACATGGGGCGATTACTTGATAATTGTAATCCATTAAATTATATATGTACATGTGTTGACTCCTATTTACTAAGCTTTATTTTCATATTACATTTAATGTTCATTAGTTTTTTAAATGTATTTGGTTTCAGGAGGCACCTCGTAGGAGTAAAGATTTTTCCAGCAATGCTGAATACTCGCTCTAATTCTGCACTAATTTAGTGTCACAATTGCAATGCTGTTAGGGGATAATTGTTCGTTATTAGCGTTCTAGACTAGTTTATAAAAACTTGACAATAAAATTATATAAAAATGTAAAATTTCTTGCTTCAAAGTAGATTATTTTAGATTTTTATTTTACCGGGACATAAATCATCTCCGAGACACATCCGGAACAGACACCTTATTTCCAGGACTGTCCCTGACATCCGGGACGTTAGGGCATGTATGGTATAGCTAGCAATGCTACGCTCGCTAGATGGCGCTGCGCAAAGAAGTGCGCAGACCAATGAAAATGTCTGACCTCAATAAATCGGGATACCCATGACTTTTTTGCCTGTAAATTATTCTTAGACAACAGTTTGTTGGTCAGTAAAAAAATAGTTGCATTTATAAATAGAAACATTAATTAAGTGTAACCGTATTTTTATATCGTTGAACCTGCACCTTTCTAAACGAAATCAAATTGGAAAGAAAAGATTTGCAAATATTTTTCACTTTCAAACCCATTACACTCAAGTAAATGTGCGTTTCTTATGAAATAATTATCAATCTTTCGAATTTACCCTTTAATTTCAACATTGGACCTGGACAAAGTATTTATTTTTGAAGATTTGTGACCTGCGGTATCCAGACAATTCCCCTCCCGGACGATTCCCCTCCCAGTAAATTTGAATGTTTTTTCACAACCCGGACATTTCCCCTCCCGTTATTTTTTTTACGGATGACAATTCCCCTCCCGTTCTTTTATCGACCCGGACAATTCCCCTTCCGTTCTTTTAACAACCCGGACAATTTCCCTCCCGCTGTTGTCAGAGCGGACAATTTCCCTCCCGTGGCTATTGAATATATATAATTATTATATAATATTGTTTATTTGAAAGGTATATACATTTTTGCAGCGGCAAAACAATAAAAGAACAATTGATAAGAACAAAAAAAAAACAATTAAGCTGTAGATTCTTGCAAAGAATATATTATGCACATGTTATAGTAAATTGAACTGTCATCATCGTCATTATGATTAGAAAATCATATTCACCATATTGAATCAGTACATGAAGTCCTAACACAAAATAACTAAATTAACGGGAGGGGAAAAGTCCGCCCTATTAAAATAACGGGAGGGGAAATGTCCGGGTTGTAAAAATATTATGGAAGGGGAATCGTCCGGGAGGGGGATTGTCCGGGATTCGTGACCTGCGTGAACTGTGTGGACACTCATTGAAAACAGCGGTAAATTTGAGAGCAATCCGAAAGTCGTACTGTCAACTTCCTGTTTGTGAAAAAAAACGAAACAGATTATACATATTTCAGATATTTTCTGCGATTGAAGAAGTATTTCCCTTGGTGTAAGTTGTAATGATGTTGCAATAACTCCTGTTTTATAAGAACTGTTCACAGTTTATTATGACAATTCTCAGATAAAGAAATACGGCCAGTTTTCAGTGATTGGGTCAGTGGGTGGGGAAACGAATTGATATTGCTATTATTGGCACTGAATCTGTGATTACTATACACTAGTAGTAATAAGATAAGATAAGATAATCTTTATTTAAAGTCGGTTTCATAAAAACATATCAACATAATTAACAATGTTTTTACAATAAAGTATTCTCCACTGACTTCCAACTTAACAGGTTTGTTAATAGTTACTTCCAATGTGTTTTACAAAATTCAGGGCCGCCTTTTGACTAAAAAATTATTAAACGTCAGACATTCCCACTAGAGTTTATCCGAACACTGCTGCATTTTAAGTAACAACTTATGCAAATTTATTTAACACACGCATGTTATAAGAAAAATCTAAATATTTCGAAGTAAGATTTACCGTTTCTGGAAACTGAAGAATCAATTTTTGTAATCAAACTCATAGGCACTCGGTTCCAAAAGCTTTTATGATTTTGATTTATGTAAAAAAAAAATTCATATCATGTATATAAAATACTACAAGGTTTCGCAGCCGCCATGTTTTAAAGCAACGGAAGTGCGTTGACTGGTGTACAATTTTCATTAAAAAACACTAGTTCCCGATTCGATGAATAGAGACTATTGGCTAATACGGGTACCACACTTATTGACTATTTCGCCGTGGTACCCGCATCAACAATATGCTTTAATTGGTGACTCGGGAGCCAGTACTTTTTTTTAAAAATTGTACACCAGTCAACGCACTTCCGTTGCTTTAAAACATGGCGGCTGCGAAACCTTGTAGTATTTTATATACATGATATGAATTTTTTTTTTACATAAATCAAAATCATAAAAGCTTTTGGAACCGAGTGCCTATGATCAAACTCTCATTCTGTCAAGTTGTTGTTGTCGTCAAGTTGGCACTTCCGCCTTGAGAAAGGTTTAAAAAAAATTCGTCCCGTTCTACAACCGTATTCTCAAAAGAAGTGAGCAGGTCGAAGACAGGTATTATCGCAGATGATACTAACATGGCGGGGAAACTTGAATTAAATTAGATTATTACTGTAACCGTATTCCTTTGTTCTAATCGCACTGTATTATAATTTCATTGTATTATTATCATAATCGTCAGCGTGCCGTGTTTAAAAGCTTGTGTGACCACGGGAGATTGAATTTTTTGTCCAAATAAAACTATAAAGTAACAAAGTTAAAATTAAAGGAATTTCCCCGTGCATTACACATGGTTGGCATGCGTGTATAACTCTCAAATTACCGTATTATTAATTTATTCCGAGAAATATAAAAAAAACACACACAAATTATTGTCATATATCAACATGCACGTGAAACACATAAAATAGAACAAAAATATAATTATATAAGTACATGCAGTGTGTTTTATATTACCCTATGATTGCCCCGGTAAATCTTATTTTTAAATGGGTCCAATTGTTGCAATATTACCACACTATATTATATAAATCATTAATGAATTATAATGAATGTGTCTTGATTACAGTAACTAAATGTTTACAAAATGATTTCATATATTTCAATTTCATTATGATTGTAATCAAGACACATTTACGATACTGTATAATAAGACAAATACATTGTAACAATCAAACTAAAATAAAATAAATTAAGTATAATTAAATACATTGTTAAATACATCAACATATTACTTACAAATCAATTTAGTAATATTTAAACATATTATTCACTTTTTTGTTATTTTCATTTTTTAAAGAAAAATCGTTTTAAATGTTTGACATTATGCCGTCCGGTAAAGAATTCCAGTCTTTTGTGGCATTGTAGAAAAACATGTTTGAAACATGGGAATCTTTTTGTGTCAAAAAAAAAGAAGAAGCAGAAATAGCAATAATAAGAAAGAAATAAAGATACTAGAGCTCAAATTGGTTTCCCTACATACCGTAAACAAGTCCTTCATATAAGAAGGGCTATTGTTACAGCACGTTGATGCCTAACTCTACTGCTGAAATTCAATATTTTAAGATCAGACAGAACATTATTTGTCACCGAAGTGTTCGGAATATAGTCTTTTATAAAAGGAACCACCTTATTTTAAGCTACTTGAAATGTGTGCTTCAGTCATTTACTCAGTCCTTCATACCAAGAAGATGAAGAATAATCAAAGTGACACAGCAAAAGAACAGGACATACTCGTTTTTTTTTTATCTTCCGAAAAACACGATTATGTTCAAACAACAATAGGTATATTCTGTGGCAAAAGTATCATAACAAATAAACATTTATTTGTGTTGTTTGACATATTATGTCTAAGATTAAAATAAATATCATTTTTAATGTACATACATACATATCTCACCTCCATTTCTATTGCGTTCATTTTTTAATACAGTACATATTTGAATGGTAATTTCGCCATCATGCACACTAGTCTAAAATAACCTGCTGCATTGCAGTTCGGACATTTTCGGATTATGGATTATGGATCTTACGGATCTAACGAAAAGCAGAAACCCTCGCAATCCAAACAAGATCAATGACATCAGGAACGCTGCAATGTGGTGTATAGAGTCGGGTCCACTTTAGCACATACACGTGTGAAACATGACCGTGCAATCGGCTAGGTTGCAATATATCCCCTACCGGCGCCAAAAAAATAAATATCAGATATCAAAGGAATTATTAATCAATTTATTTATTTTGTTCTTAAACATGTTTATAAAACTGCACTGTAACATTATAACCTGCTAAACCTCTTTATACTACTGTAAGGAGGCCACATCAAAATCAAAATAATTATGTTATTTGTTTTGTATAATGATATACATTGTATCTTTACGTGTTATCCTCTTTATGATATAATTATTTTATGCTTAATTTTGATATTTGAAAGCACTGATAACTTCTACACAGCATCTTTTTAATTTAAATGTAAAATGAAAAAAAAAATGAAGAAAAAAAGAAACAAACACAAAAGACACAAAAACACCCAAAACAACCAACATTTGATTACGCTTAAGGTAAACACAGTTTGAATGATAGTTCCATTAAAACTGGCATTTATTTGAAAAGATGACCAAATTAACTTAACCAGTAAAATAGGGAATGCAGCTTCTCTAACATAGTTTGCATTATTATTATTATTATTATTTAGCCTGTTATAGTAGAATTTCCTGGCGATTGAACAATGTGTAGTGTTGTCGTGCTCTGAACATCGTTGTATATATACATTTCGTCCAACTCAAACTATATTACAAGCTGTCCGTCAGAAAAACACTCCTTTCATGTCCGTCAGATAAATAAGAGGATTCATTCAAGTGATTTCTACAAGTAAAATGGTTTCCTGTGGGGAATATTTTTAATGACATAAAGATATTTCATGTAACTATCTATTTTCAACATTTTTTTTTTTTTTTTGGGGGGGGGGGGGGTAAAAAACGTTTGTATCAGGAATATTAACAATAATCGATCAATAGAGAAGAAGGTCTTTGGAAAGCGGTGACCGTTGAGAACGGAGAAGGCCGAAGATAAAACAATTATTTCTTTTTAAGAAAATGATTAAATAGGCCTACCATTTTATGAACAATTCCGAGCAAAAAAAATAAAGCAAACACACAAGTTTACGCAGAAAATATCTCTATTTATTATGGCAGATGCCACTACGAATATTTTAATTTTGTAGATTTTCAGTATTTGTAAAATTTGAGATAGATTTTGAAGAAACATTGATAATTTTCAAACACATCTTTCAAGTTTTTGCAACCTAAACGGTAAAATAATTATAGAAAATTAGAAATATCACGTAATTTATTTTTGTTCTTAGTTCGGACTAATCCCCTAGAGGTAAAGCCGTAACGTATCGGCAAACGGTATTTAGCTAGGTTTTCGAAAAAGTCAATTAACCAATCATGTTCGGTTTACAGATCACATGCTCCTCCATGTACCGAAAACAGGTCACGTGCTCCTCCATGCCTCAAAAGTTAAACGCGTACCAATACCCTGCGGTCTCCAGACCGCAGGGAATAATGCGGCGGAGGACACCAGTTCAGCTAATTTGCTTGTTAAAAAGATAGATAGATAACACAAGTGCTATATTTCAGAGACAAATAAAACAAAATATATTATTTAATACATTTGAGAATTCAGCACATTCCCATGCACAAATATATGCTGTGTTTATCGTTTGAATTTTTTATCGTTTTTTTTAAACTTTGTGAACAATTTTCTCCAAACTCCTTGAATTTTCTCAAGTAGTTTGATGATCATTCTTATTTCATTGCCCGGCATTTTGATGCATCTATTTTACAGAAAATATATGCATTATAATATTATTTATGATATTGGTAAATTTTATCACGGATTTATATTACATGTTATTAAGATCGGTTATTTTATGTTATAACGTTAGGTAATGTCTGCATGGGGTACATCAGAGTCGATAATTTTGTTGTGATTTTTTTCGCGCCAAAAAACGAGGAAAGTGTCCATCTCTCTTTGAGAAAATGTAGAAGTCCAATTCCCGTTTGACATTGAGTGGTTTTGGGGAGGGATCGGCATTGATTTGTTGTACAAACTTCGTTACAGCTTTTTGTTTTCATGCCAGAAATATGTCCACGTTCTATTTCACTTTGTGGGACTTTTTGGGACCACTGTCACCACAGCAGGACTTTTTCTGGGATTTAATAATGATGTCAAATTCCCGTATTTCTGGGAGGGGTAGTAGCTAGGGCGGGGGTTTCAACTGAGTGTAATAGTATAATTTTACCAAGTAATTTCAGAGGTAAAATTGTCAGACACAAAAGTTGCACGATATATAGGCTCGGGTACATTTTATTGTGAGTAACACGCACAAGACCAAATAGTAATAGCTAGATGTTAATTAGTTTTTTAACTCGTGTTACACATAAGTGACAAGATTTCCTTATTTGGAAATTAAAAGGAATTGCTGCAAATTAACTCGGGTGACACATTTGGTCGGTCACGATACCTTTTCACGTATTGCCGACTTGAGTTACTATTTTTAGGTAAATTTGTAAGCGTTGACGTCTACCTGTAATCGGTAAACCGCGACGAACTATTTTTATACCGGATAATCGATTTTGAAGAATGTAAACATAAGACGCATACAAAGTGGTAGTACAACTATTTTTTGGATAGACAATTATATTAAATTCTAGTATACACTTAAAAAAAGAAAAATGGAGCGACCACCACCTGGTAAAGTTGAGGACCTGGCTACATTAGCAAAACTAGATGAAAAAGTGTTATTGGATGAATTAAAGATTAGATATTACAATAACGATATATATGTAAGTTAGCTTTTATCTTCCGTGTGTATTATAAAGTGAACATATGATATTACAATAATTATACATGTACATGTATAATATTTAAAAAAATATAATGTATATATTTATATAATTATGCTTTGAATTGTTTAAAACATTTAAAAATGTAAGTGTAGGTAGTCAGAATCACCATATAAAAAACATTATTTTTTGCAATTAGTTCTTATGTCTGTAGTAACTTGAATATGACATAATCTAAAAGAAAAAGGTGTCATTTCGTTCCAAAACATCAGTGTATTGTCACACTGCTTCATGTTCCAGTTTTCTTAGAAAATTGTGACATTAAAAAACTGATGCAGAAAAATTGATTATTTCACATTTAAATAGTCAGTGTACAATAATTATAGTGAAAATATTTTATATTTCATTTCTAAGATATGATATCATTCAGGTAAGTCTGGATCACTCCTAACATATATTTCCTTACAAACAGGTATTGATTCATTCCTTTTTATTGTTAAATTACATTGGGTTGCTTTAGCTTTAGATTGCCTACACATACATTTACTGTACCGGCCAGTATATTTGTTACTTAATTTCTAATTAATATTATATAAAAAAATAACAATGTAATTGTTTGTGATTATAAATTGTTTTCATATTCTTTGGAACTGTTAAATAAAACTGAAATACTGATGATGCTATGCAATAAAACAGTCATTAAAAAAAATCATTATCAAGAAATGTCCAAACTACCTTTGAAAAAATAATTTAACAGTTTTGTCCAAATTGACAAGTATAATATTCAGAAAACGGGAACCAATCTGTTAAGGTTTTAATTCAAAGGTGTCCTGAATTGCACACATGTAAACATGTTTATATATAATCTGAATCATCATACATGAATGATAGAGCTGCAAACATTTAATGTTGTTACAAGTTAAAACGTTTCAACAGCAAATTGTATTATATGTCATTATACTGGTGAAAACATCATTCTAGTGGCTTGACTAACTAATTGTTGTCATGATCTACCAAATCTGTCATCTGTTTGACAGCTCACCATTGTTACTGTTATATATATTACCATTACATCGTTTAAACATTATATACATTGTTGTGTCAATATATTGACACTGAACAATATTTTCAAACATCTAATTTTAAGGATTCCTTTCTAAGAAAAATATCTTATGAAACACAATTACTTACCATTTGAAACAGCCTGGCACTAACAGAATTTTAAAACAGGAAAAATCTCAGATTAAAAATAAACAAAACAAGATAAAATTAATCCAGAATTATTTTTTGTCTGCTTAAAATGATTTTGTAATCATATATTAAGATCATGCAAAGTTAAAATAAATTCTGTTATGTAATTTTCAATCTGATATATTTTTGCAGTATAATTGGGTCATTCCCAATTATTGCAACTAAAAAATAATTGTGTTAAATTAGTACTGTTTATTAAATGACATTCACATGACTTAATTAAACCCTGCAAAAGAATCTTAAAAAATATGAATAGTCAATACTATTTAGATAAATACTCAGATTTGTTAACACAGTTTTATAATTACTGGTATAAATGGTTGACAATTTGACATACTGTTGGTGACTCCAGTTATTCTTTTCACTGCCCCTTTAAGACACTTTGGTATACTTGTCCAACTCACATGTCACAAATGATGCATCATTTTAGTTTGAAATGATTTATTGATTTTTTATAGAACATGTATTCTATCACAGTTTTGTTTTTAGGTTGGGATAAAAATCATTTAATCTCAACTATGTGAAAAATAAACAATAAATGTTACAGCATATACACCATCAGTCCATCACAATTCTTGCTTAAAACATAGTCTTTCATATAGATCTTAATACTTTCTTTAAAGGCCCATTATGGCTCAGAAACAAATAAATTTTACTTTTTTAAAAATTGCAATATGAGTTTTATATTGGTTTAAGAGCATGTTAAGATGCTTATAACCAAAAAGAAGTAGCACTGAATGTGAAATTATTTCTCATAAAACTAGCAAAACATAAACAAATTAGTATTTTGACTTCCATACCATATACTAATCACTATAAATATACTTATTTCCAAAAAGAAACAGAAGCATCATGTTATGGTTCAGATAATGAGTAACTGTTTTAAAACTATTCTAGGACAATAAAAATGAAAAACTTTCGTAATAAAAGTAAAAGAATTTCTTTGGCGTAATAGACCTTTGAAGAACAAACATTATAAATGAAATGTGTTTATATGGTAACCTTTAAATGGAATGTTTACTATATTATTTGTCCATTAAGTGTCATGTTTTTATATAGGTTTTCACTTCAATGACAATCAAATATCAATAATCATATAGATTTTAAGTTCCTACATCAATGACAATCAAATATCAATAGTTATATAGATTTTAACTTCCTGCTCAATTATATAGATTTTAACTTCCTATCTCAATGACAATCAAATATCAATAATTATATAGATTTTAACTTCCTATCTCAATGACAATCAAATATCAATAATTATATAGATTTTAACTTCCTATCTCAATGACAATCAAATATCAATAATTATATAGATTTTAACTTCCTATCTCAATGACAATCAAATATCAATAATTATATAGATTTTTACTTCCTATCTCAATGACAATATGATATTGTATTGTCTTGGGAATGATTAACTTAATAGGATTCAGTTGATGCTTTGATTTATAGCATTTGAATGAAGAATCGCCTGACTGGTACTAATGTTACTATAGCAACATAAATATTCCAATATTGTCATGTACATAAACGTCAGAGTTCAGCTTTCTATTCTGCTAGAACATCTCGATTAATTTTCTTCAAATAAATATTTGGTATCTATGTCATTAAACCAGTTCTTTGACATTACATAGATGACAATGTTATGATGATCTTTTATATTATACACAAGTATACACAAATCATTACAACTATATACATGTACTGAGAATTATGAAAAAAGGGCTAAAGGTGATGAATATTGAATAAAAAACATTGACAGCCCATTTTAGCATAAATTTTGATAATTTTACTGATTGTTCGATATAGCATCTTTCATATAGGAGAAAACTATTTATCATTTTAAGGGACATTTTCAAAATATTAAGAACTAACTGTGTAGTGAACAGTGCAGACCATGATTAGAAAGCACAGATGTGTTGGCTTGTCTTTAAGTCTGCACTCGCTGCATAGGTAAAAATATGTTGCTTCCAGCATGTTAAAGTTTAACTTGTTGTATTATATATGAGTAAATGATGTTTATAAACAGATGAGCAATAATTATATATATATGTCATTTATAAACAATCATATCTTAATAAAAGCTGTCAGTGTTAGCTGATCTTACGTACCTATGTATAATATGTATAATAATAATAATCATTAATGCTCACATTAATATTGTTCATGCGGAGAAGTTGGCTATAACTTGTAGGGATTAGAAATAAGTTAATAAGACATGCAATTTTAAAATAGAAATGTTTGTTAAAAAGAGTCCTCAAGTTGAGGCATGTCTACAGCTTTGAGCCACAGTTGAATTATCTTGGGATGTGCATATTCATAGAATAAACTGTTTTTCATCATTTTTTTTTATCACCCATCCTGATGTTGTTTTCCCCAGCATCTATCAATACTGATAAGGTAGAGTATTGTTTCTGTCCTGTTTTACCTATTATTCACCATTTTTTCTGTCATAATTTGCAGCAAACTGATTTGTTCTGGTTTATTTCAGACATATGTTGGTGACATTCTGATAGCAGTCAACCCATTTAGAGATCTAGGTATCTATGATGACCAGGTATTCTTTTTTCTTTTATTCTTGCATGGAAATATTTTATTGTTTTTCTGCATTTCATTTTGTTTTATTTTCAGTAAAATATACCATTTTATATTGTTATTTTTAGTAAAACATTCAATTTTGTATTGTTATTTTCAGTAAAATATACATGTACAATTTTACATTGTTAATTAATCAGTAAATAATGACCTGCAGAACAGTGGAACACAAGGAGTTTAGTTGATTCATGGAATCAACATAATCACATTACTAAATAGATTCAGGTTGTTAAGGTTTTTTAGACTTCAAACCACTTGTCCTTCACTGATTTTGGTTCAAATTCTGACAGAGACATTTTATTCTTTGATCTGAGAAAGCTAATAAACTCAGCCTGTCCAGCTAGCTTATGGAATATCAGTGGTTCTACTCAGGTGCCCATTTGTTCCTAAAATAATGCATGGAAGGGCATCTGGGGTCTTCCTCCACCATAAAGCTGGAATATCGCCATATGACCTAATTACTGTACTGGTGCAAGGTTAAAAACCCAACCAAAAAAATGGATACAGGTTGTGGGTTAATAATAGCTAGACAGGTGTACAGATATTTACTCATTTTAAAAGATGTCTTTGAGTACTTTTAACTTAAAAATTTAGTTAAACCTACGTATTGTATGGTTATAATTGTGTTTAAAGACAAAACTAAGGTAAAAAAGTCATTGAAAAAGGGAAAAATGTCAATTTAACCTTTGATAGTTATTCTCCGGAAGATTTTGAAGGAACTGAAAATGTACAAGATACAAATTTTTTTCTCTCCATATGAATTGAAATTTTGGTTATTTAATGACAGGCCTTTACTTACTTTGTTACAGACGTCAAATTTGTACAATCTTGCAAAGAAGACAGAGCTGCCACCACACATATTTGCAATAGCTGACAGTGCGTATCAGTGTATGATAGGACATGGAGGAAGAACTCCAGAAAATCAGTGTATCCTTATCAGGTATATATACAAGTTTCCTTGTATATATCTTGTCCATTTACACAGACTATAGGCAGATGTCTGATGTATAAGCTTGAGAGGGATAATTCATAATTAATATTATCATTTTTACTTGAAGCAGCTAATGATTGTTTATGTGTTACGAATTAAAAGACTTCAATATAGCTATCACAGTTTCTTAAATTGATTTCAGTACTAAAATATAATTGACTTTAGTTATTGCAACAATAGTCAGACGTCAGCTCAGGTCAGTGCAGAATAGCTTCAAGCATTGAATTAGATGAGTTGCTGAAATCATGCTTTGAGGAAACTTGCATTTGTTTTTTCCCTCACAGCTAAAGTTGTTTGTCTAATGACCTCAGCAGTATTGGTATAACATGAATGTAAAATTTAATCTGTGACAATGTATTTTATTATGACTCAAATTTATTACAATGAAGATCCTGTTTAATGCTACAAGTTCATGCATTATGAGATGTCAGTGTTACATGAGTATAGAGCCAATGTGTTTCGACACGTCCATACAGTCTGACATATACCAACTTCTATTTACTTCTCAGTTTTAATAGTTTGATATTAAAAACCCTCAAAATGAAAATAGATAAATTGTAAGTAGGACAAGTAAATTTTACAAATTAGGCAGTGGTACGGGGTTTAAGTACAAAGTACAAGTACAAAGGATATAATATACAGGCGTGTCTGTATATATATATAGCATCCTGTATTCACAAAATTCAATGAAGTTTTATGTTGAACATAAGTTATCTTCATGTGAAACTTTATCCTTGTCGTCAGACTTCAGTTATTTTGAAATTTTAAGAAAAAAAACTCAATTTTATTTCTCTGATAGGAAAACTTTATATTTGGAGCAGTCTCCAGATTTGAGGTTTTGTTATGAAAAATTCAGTGTTTTTCAAATGAGTAAAAATATTGTTAAGTGTACAAAAAAGTGATTATAACATAGCATCAGAGTTCCAACTATTTAAGAATTTGCCTAAAAATTGTAAAGAAATTTTTTTGACAGCCATTTTTGTTTTTGTTTTAATAAAAAATAACCTATAAGAATTAGGTAAGGTCATATTTTACACAATATATATACCAAATTTCACCTAGATTTTGAATATTTACACATTTCTAAAACTATAAATAATATTTTTCTTATAAATTGGATTTTTACAAATATGTTATATGTTGCTTTGAAATTTGTATTACATGAATTTGAAATTTCAATGATAATTTATCGTAGAAAATGAAGTAACGTTTCCATGAAAATGTGGGTGTTTTAGCCATTTTAAAAATATTAGTAACTGTTGCAATATTACTTCTATTTTTATAAACACTTTAAGGGAGATGAATTTAGTATTTATGAATTGATTGATTCATTATTGTAGTGGTGAAAGTGGAGCAGGTAAAACTGAAAGTACAAAACTCATCATTAAACAGCTTGTTGAACTTTGCCATGGTAACACACAACTTGAACAACAGATATTACAGGTAAACTGATAAATATGTATTACTCTTATATTTCACCTTTTATTGATAAACAGTTTATGTGTGTACTGTCAAACCTGAGCTGTAAACCACTTCTCAAGACGAGCTGGTTGAAGCATATTTATTTAAGCTCGATTGCGAAACAAATTCTTGCAACTTATATTTAAATCACTCTCGAGTTGGCTTCCTGGAACCAACCAGTACTGGTGTCATATGAAGAAACATGGTTGTGACCCGAGTAGGGCTCAAACCCATGATCTTTGGGTTGAGAGGCAGACGCCTTAAACACTAGGCCACTGCTCCCCTAAATTTTATAGGTCATTATTTGACACCTAGCTTGGGCAGGGCTTACTTTGACTCATAGGTTATGACCTACATGAGTTATAAGACTACATTAAAGGGAGTCATATTGGTAGAAGACGAGCTAAGAGCACTATTATCAAAACAATCTGAGATATGTTTGTAAATTTATAAAATGTATATTAATTTTGTTATTACGACCTGGAAAAATTAAAAATTAAAAAAAGTATAGTACTATAGTTTCCTATTTGAAGTAATAAAGTATGCTATGTGACACTGTGTAAATAATTCATACATGTGATATTTTTTCAACGCTCATTTATTGTGGGAGAATTTACTTTAAAAAAAAGGAATATTTCAGAATTTACAATAGATATAAAAGGAAATTTTGAAATGAAAATAAGGGAGATTTTATAATTTTGTGAAAACACTCCTTATTTTAGAAAAATAATCTGAAAATTTGACAGTCAAAATAGGGAGTCTCCCTCTTAAATAGGGAGATATCACATGTAAGTGTACATGTAATTATAAAGTCACCTGTTTTTAGAGACCAGCTCCAGAAATTGATCTATTAATTATACGGTATGAGATTATATTAAAGGGAGTGATATTGGTAGAAGATCTATTTGTTAACATAAAGTTTAATACACACAGTCATATTTCTTGGTATGATTAAACCAGGAAGTGCACATTAACTTGATGAAACATAATATCATACATTACTTCACAATCAAGCCTGTTTAAAAAAAAAAAAAAAAATCATCGTAAATTTCCTGGCTTTTGTCTGTTGCAAATTAAAATAAATATATTATATCTTTTTCATTATAAATGAAATTGGAGTCTTTCAGTGAAGGGCACATTTTTTAAGGGGAAATTTAGAGGTTTTGTAATGAATGAAAATATTGTCATGTAGAGTTATTTTATGTCAAGGTAGAAATTTGATATCAGTTATGTTAACTTTGATAAATGGCCGTGAATTTTCAAGTGTACTGTTTAGCAATAACCTTAAGCTTATTATGAGCATCAATCGTATTTTCTTTGCTTTTTAAAAAAAATTTGAATAACTTAAACAGACCTTTATCAATTGAATTCAAGTCATGACCAAAGAGTCAAAATAAGACCTGCCCCAGCTAGGTGATTAGTTGTTCAAATTGGTTTAAACATATTTATTTCAGCTAGATCTTTCAACTTATTTCAATCACTTTTGAGTCTGCTTCCTGGAACCAACCAGTACTGGTCTCGTATGAAGAAACATGGTTGTGACCTGATTTGGGCTCGAACCCATGATCCCTGGGTTGAGAGGCAGACACCTTAACCACTAGCCACTAGCCACTGCTCCCCTTAATTTTATATTATAACTTAGTTGTTTGATTAATAACAAAGAATCAATGTACTAAAATACAGATGGGCTGGCCACATTACATTATAACATTACCTTTATCAAAAAGTTGATAAAAGAATTGAATTGATATACAATGTACATGTATAAAGGAGTGTACATTCATTGTGTTAGAGAGAAAACCTCCGATCTTGTTTTTACTAATAAATTATTGAAATTTACAATATCTGAAAAAAAGTAATGAATTTAACACTTATTGCTACAACAATAAATTTACTTCAAATATTGTAATTTCTTATTTTGATCATTTAATATCATTGACAGTCAAATGTTAGGAAAAGAGTTCATCATAACTGAGTATTAGATTGCCTACAGTCTGATCCTTTTTTGTATTGATTGTAAATGTCATTTGTGTAAATATTCCTTATTTGATGAATAAATATAAATGTATTAATGCATGCCTCCAGATGAGCCCAAATATTTCAAAAAAATCAAACTTGAGAAAAAAGTACTGAAAAGTAAAGAGATTCAAGATAAAAGTAATAATTTCCATGTTATGTGAAATTACCGGTATGTCTGATTTTAGTGACACAGTAAGGACTATTTATGCATATTTTGACCTCTTTTTGGTAATTTACATTACTTGTATGCGCCACTTGCAATGTGAAAATCATTTTCTTTGTTCACTTTACAATATTTTTTAATACATTTTTCAAAAATTTCAAGAAAATTAGCATGAATCTGGAGGCATGCTGCTTTAAACCAAATTATGTTTAATAGTGCAGATATCAAGGTCATGTAATTAAGTAGTCACAAACAGTAACATGGCAAATGAAATGAAAGCACAGCAGCCTCTACATTACATTATACTTGATTGTTGTTGTTTTTTGTCAGGTAAATCCTCTGCTAGAAGCATTTGGAAATGCACAGACCTTGATGAATGACAATTCCAGTAGATTTGGGAAATATATACAGCTTCAGTTTCATAATGGGCAAGGTAAAACTGTTGAATTATTTTTCTGCATTACTGTATTATAAACTTGTAGTATTTTTGGTTACCCGCACAAGTACTTCTTACATGGGTGGGGACTATTCCACGGTGATAGGGCGATTCCTACAACTTTTCCGCGCAACGTCAAAATATCATCCTTCTGACCGAGACACCGTATATGTCTGGACAAAATATTAATGGCGGGATAAAAAAATTCCAGGTAATAGCTTACAAAATTTCTTACTGCTTGACATTGCAAGATTATTCCAATTGTTTAAGTATTCCATCGAATTTTTGAGACAATTTATTGTTAATCTAGCATAATACAATTCACACAAAAACACATACTTCGAAGAAATAGTGTTTACAAAAGATCGTGTGTACCTCAACATGACTCGTACTTGTCACAAAAACATGTGTTATAACGACGATGTCTTTGTTCTATGACCTAACGAGCTCGTATATTTATTATGGTTAACCCTAAGTTCAAGTTCCATACAAAATTGTGTGTTTCTATCGTAAATTTCAGGGAATATTTGTTGAAAAAAGGCCTACTGACCCGAATATTGGAGCACCGTACAACACTGAATTCAAACACCGCATTCTTTTTCCGTTAGACTGATAAATACTGGAACCGTCTTCTTTGGAATTATACAATCTTCTTACAAATATGTTTTATAATAACTTTCATTTGATGAAATTTTGATGAAAGATTGTTTACTTGCTGTTATGTTATGTTGCTGTTATATCATACGTTATGTTATGAAAATTTTCTGAAGGTCTGATCTGTGTTAATACTACCAGTTAGATAAGTGCAATGGTATCTATATATAGATAAGGATGTCTTTTCCTTTTCGAACTTATTCAAACTGATAAACCCCACATGAAAAGATTGAAGTTCTATACCATCAAACAACATCGATAAACAAAAGGAATGAACTATTTGTTAATGGGAATTTCTTATTGCATACTAATTTGATAAAACTGCAAAAGTCATAACACAAATTTTCATGGTGTAGTTTTTGCAGGAACCTGGGCAATATTTCCATAATCTCTTTAGTCATCGTCTCCAATGTGCTTTTTTTAAACAATCTTTTGCGAAAGTTTGACTTCATATTCTTTTTCTTATGTGGTGCGTTACGCATATCGTCCTGAAATACAGGGAGGCACTGATCCATTGGCGTACTGCTGATATCAGAAGACTAAGTTGGGCGCTCTCCAGTTGCTGCAGTATCTGCAGCTTTGCCAATTTCGCACGTTGCTTTGGCTTGTTCAGACATAGGTTTGAACGTCTTCTTTTTCTGAAAGCAAACATTAATATCAAAAATCAACGGTGCTAAAAAGACAGAAAAATGTGGTGATTTTAAGGAGGAATAATGCGGTGCCCTAATCTTATGATTGACAAAGTTGTGCGGTGCCTTAAAATACACACGTGGAAACATAAAAATCATACCAAATATACAAAGAAAGGGTTATTTAGGAATTGTAACTTGTTCATACGACAATAATGTACATATTTATATTGTATTTTGACCAGTTATATGAACTGAACGGACTAGAAATACGTTATATTTCGTAATCAAAGCAAGATTTTTTTCAGTATGCCCTAAATGTTTTCACTATCCTGACTTAATTAATGAAGCATTTTGCATGTAGTAAAGATAAATAAGTTTCAAATTAAATGGCACATTCGATGAAAAAGAAAAAATGATGATTTTACCTTGTTTTGAGCAATTTATATGCTGTTTTCGTCTCGGTTACAGGCTTGCTGTCCATTTTGTACCACAGAAATATACGGTGTCTCGGACAGAAGTAAGATATTTTGACGTTGCGCGGAAAAGTTGTGGTAATCGCCCTATCACCGTGTATTCCCTAAGATCAAAGATTCAACAAGAACCTTGTCTGTTTATTTAAGCCTCTGGTCTGAATTTCTGCAAATAAAATTCTATAAAAGGAGAGAGAATTTGATGTGTCTCTCAAACATGTGAACTTTTTAAGATGATCAAGTGGGAGATTTTTCTTCAAAAAGAGGGAGATTTTAGAATTTGCAATAAACAAAGAAGGAAGTTCTGACATCAAAAATAGGGAGATTTCTTTAATTTGTGAAAATACCCCTTATTTTAAGAAAAATCTTTGAAAATATGGCTACAGAAAGTGGGAGACTCCCGCTAAAAGTGGGAGAGTTCATATAAAGTGACTCACTTTATTGACTAGAAATTTAAAGTTACATCATGTTTTTTGTTTCTTCAAGCTGTTGTTATATTGTAGATCATTTTGAGGGTAAGTTAATGCCTTACATGAGTGTTTAGATGAAAACTGACATAACACAAGCTATATTTTATCTTATATTGTGTGCCACTTTGTTTTTAACTGACCTGTTATGTTACTGAATTGTGATATTTTGTTTCGTGAGTTACAATTATTTACAACATTTCAGATTGTTTTTTAAGACAATTTTAAGAACAGTATTTTTTTTAAAAAGTAAACACCATTCTTCAAGTGGTTGGGATTTTATTAACCCAGGATTGTGAGTTTCAGCAGCGTTTGGGTCACACCTTAGTTATATGACACCACTCACCAGTACTGGTAAAACTCATGAAGCCAAGAAGCATACTCGAGACTTTAATGTTAGAAATAAGCTTCAAACCTTCTCTAAATTAAGATATTATTATTATTATTATTATTATTATGAGTATTATTACAATCAAGCTAAGATAACTGTGTTTAAACTAACAGCATTCTTAGGTTATTAGAATGTAAAACTAAATCATTGAATTTATTTTACTGCTGGCTTCACACCTAATGTTTCACACGAATAACATTTCCTTTTATATGACATGACATCCCAGATAGCATTCTATTTGGGACCCATGTGGGGCCCATATGGGCACCTATATGGGTCCCATTTGGGCTGCCCATATGGGCCCCATATAGGAAGTGCAACCGGGTTCCAAATGGGTCCCATCTGGGCAGCCCTTATACTCAATATGGGATTCACATGGGCCCCATCTGGGCAGCCCATGTACACAATATGGGCCCCACATGGGCCCCATATGGGCAGCCCTTTTACTTAATATGGGTTTCAAATGGGCAGCCCAGATACTTCCATTATGGGTAGATTTTGAATTCCGGGGTAGATCTATTTTCAATTACTTCAATTACAAGTTTGCTGGACGTAAAGATAGCAACCGCTTGCTACAGTGCATGATTCTTGTACTTGCATTAAATATTCAAGTGATGTTTTAACTCATTCTGTTTCCTGGAACAGACAGATTATGGCACAAAGCCTTTATGATCATGCAAGAAAACAATACACAATGTATATGCTTTAACAATGTAACTTTATTTAGTAATCTCACTTATGGTAAGTGTATATCATTATATATACAGATTCTCAATACATTCTGTGGACGCCTGTGATGTCAACAAAGAAACCTTTACTTTGATGTAAATAAACTTAGAAAAGTGTACAATATAAAAAATCCGAGTAAACTGTACATATTTGTAAAAATCCACAGAATTTCATTTTGACTACATAGTTTTTAATTCAAAAATACAGAAATATTAATTATTTTTCAAAAAGTCCTATGTAGTAAATATTACTTTGGTACACTAAATAAGCAACATGTAATGGAAAACTGTTTATAATGTACGAACAAAATAACTAAAAATGCAGTTTTTATGACATTAGATACCTTACAGATCACTATAAGGAAAAATGAAACTTATGCTAGACACTGGTGTAAAACTTTACAGAAGGTCTTTGGAACTCCAAGAAATATATGTGTTATAATGTTTAAATTTCAGTGAATCAACAGTATGACCCCAAAATGTTCTTTTTTAACTTTCTACATAATTCATAGAAAAAGTATTATACATTTACTGTAATTCATTACCAAATTTCTATCTACCAATTACTTTCAATTTTCAAATGATATAGATCTACATCAATTAATATAAAAAGTTGTTCATTACAACCATGTATTACACTTTGGTATGGTAGCTGCTGAAGAAAAAAATGTTATGCAGCTCGTGAAAAGTAACAAATATAATAAAACAAAACCTTGGCCCAGCAGTTGTAATACTGTTCATAGATGTGCTAAACAAAATATTATGCTTCTGCTGAAAAAAAATTAATAATAATTAAAACAAAAACCTTGGCACGTTGTAATTTACTGTTTATACGCAGACGTGTGGACAAAATATGCAGCTAATGGAAAAGTAACAAATATAATACACAAAAGGTTGGCAACTTTTTTAATTGTCAACAAAATAGCAGCTAATAAAAAGTAACAAAAAGTAATACAAAAGGTTGGCACCGTTGTAATACTGTTTATATAGACGTGTTAACAAAATATGCAGCTAAAGTAACAAATATGATACACAAAAGTTTGGCACGGTTGCTTCTGTTAATAGACGTTAATCAAAATATGCAGCTAATGAAAAGTAACAAATATAATACACAAAAATCTTGGCACATTGAAATACTGTTTATAGATCATGTAAACAAAATATGCAGCTGATGAAAAGTAAAAAATAGTTTTGTACAAGTTTGTAAAAAATCAATAATTAATTAAAATGTGATATTACACAAAGATCAAATTTGTTGTGAAGAAATTCATTAAAAAAATTGTAAGTAAAAATAGTTGGTTTCAGCTAAATTTTCTCCGCATATATATCAAAGTTTCAACAATAACAACAATAAGATTACCAAGAATTTCATTTCATTTGTAAAAGTATTTTTTTCAAACTTTATTTTAAAGGTTAACCATATCAATACATGTGTTCCCTGTTAGTGTCAAGTTTTGACAAGATGTTATAATTGTATTGATCAGTATCAAAAACATTTCCCAAGCATTTAATGTCTTGATTTAAATAGTTAACAATGTTTTTTAGTTTGTTTGTTTCATTTTATTGCCTTTAACATCACTATAGGCGGGTTACGTTTTCCTAACCATCGTTTCTGGAGAGTTACACCAGTACAAGACTACCCTTCCTCCGTGCCT